AGCATCTTTGGAGGTTGCCAATCTATTATTGTGAATTTTGGGCCAGAATAAACAATTTGCTCTCCCTTTCCCATATCTCCCTCTGCCCGTCACCACCCCTATGGCGGCACCCCCACCCATGGACCCACTCCCCCCGGGAACATACCCTCCATTTCCATCTATTGTTGTTCCATATGTTAGTGTTTGATGATAAGTGTAGTCACATATAATTTGGTCTTGATGTTCCCACCCCTTGAAATTACCTGCTCCTTCCAGTGTATTAAAGAAGGTAAAGTGCACTAGTATCGATAGCAGCAGGATTGGTGTCAATGGTAACATAGGAGTGGGGTATTTGTAAACAACAATATCTAATTGTCAACCTGCTACAAATGAGGCTAAGTGCTAGTGCAGGCCTCGAAACAGTTGTTTAAAGTGCTGCTGTAACAATTCTTTAAAGTGCTACTATAACAGGTTGTTTAAAGTGCTACTATAACAGGTTGTTTAAAGTGCTACTATAACAGTTGTTTAAAGTGCTACTATAACTACAATTTAATCACCATGGGACGCTTTGGGACCAGTTAATAGCATGGCCCCTGGTAGACTAGGAGGTAGATCTAATAAAGTGCTCTAGGCTAAAGTGACGTAGTGTTAACCAAGTTCAAATATTAGTGTCTTCTTATATGACACCACATCCCAATCAAAGGGGGTCAATTTAAACACAAGGAGTCCGGCTTCCTGGACCCGTGAAGTACAAGCCGGCATCCGCTGGCCAGATCCCCTAGAGTTCTCTTGACCGTCCAAGGAGGGAAATGGCAGTTCCACAGAAGGATGTAAATTCGTGCACTGAAGACAGTAGCTATTACAGTCACAATTTGCCAATGAGCTTCTCCAATTAGAGGTTGATGTATTTACAAAACTCAACTCCACCAAAGGGGGCAGTGTAGGAAGTATTTGGCTCACTCGGATCCGAACGCCACACACTCTCTAGTTCCCCCTTCCTTCGCTTCATCGCTGCCAGCTCCTCGGTGAACCAGGGAGCTGGTTTAGCTCGGCTACTTGAGAGGGGACGTTCCGGAGCGATCGTGTCAATTGCCCTAGTCATCTCCCCATTCCAGAGAGTGACCAGGGCCTCGACAGGATCACCTACCGAGGCGGCGGGAAACTCCCCAAGAGCCATCAGGAATCCATCCGGATCCATAAGCCTCCTGGGGCGGACCAACTTGATGGATCCTCCACCTCTGCAGAGGTCAGGGGGCGCAGTGAGCCTAAATCTGACCAGGAAGTGGTCGGTCCATGGCAACAGAGAGATGGTCAGCTCCTCNCTCTGCAGAGGTTAGGGGGCGCAGTGAGCCTAAATCTGACCAGGAAGTGGTCGGTCCATGGCAACGGAGAGTTGGTCAGCTCCTCGACCCCACCACCTTCCTCCCATCCCAGAAGGGGGGAGGGGCCTCTCAAGTGATGATATAGGCAGAAGACAAGATGGAAGTCTCTTCTGTGCCCTTCTGTCTTTGCTCTGGCTAGAGCAGCCCTTGGAGCCAGAAGGGGGCGAGGCCTCTAAGTGATGATATAGGCAGAGACAAGATGGAGTCCGTTAAATTGCCAAATCTACAATAAAGTAGCAGTTAATGCCCAGTATAATTGAAAACATGCACAAATTAATTTATGTGAAAACAGATGGTACACTGAAATATTATAAAAACAAAGAATAAACCTTTTCAATTTTTTAATTTGCAGAGTCTTTGAACATCATGGACAGGTTCGACTTGGAATGGTAGGGTTTGCTTTCTTATTAAATCATAAAATTTACTTTTCTGAAATGATTTATATTTAAAGTGACATATTCCTTCAGTGGAATATAAGGACATATTGAGCAACTAGGTTTTGCTTGAGTTTCATTTAATATTTGGCATATTGCCAATGTGGAAGATCAGTTGTGTCATCACTCCAGTATGTTTGGATGGTGGTGGCATCTGGCCATAATCTATTTCAGCAATTTAGGTCACCTTCGGTGAAGCTCTGGTAAATAGGTCAAGAGGAAGTCCTCATAATTGCCCCATCATCTTAATATTTAATGTTATTTGATAGCAATGCAAATAGTACAATTTATTTTAATTTCCTGAATTATTTTGTCTATTTAAAAATGTTTGTGTAGATGCGCCACCTGTATGTTGTGGTTGATGGATCAAGAACAATGGAAGACCAAGACTTAAAACCCAACAGACTGACTTGTACCTTAAAGGTAACTATTTTTTAATATGCTATTTGTATTTTTTTCAGGATCGATCCCAATGGCTATAATGAATCCACTGTCATACTCGGTCTAGGGAGACCCATGGTCAGATCATTGCTTGATCATGAAGATCAGTGACAAGTTCCCATATCATAGGCTAATAGAGATAAAAACAGCATACATCACTTTTGAGAGGAAGGAATAGTATCAAAATAAAAAATATTCTAATTTGTCTTCCTTCTATGAGAGTATTAAATATTGAGATTCCTATTTTTATGCCTTACTAGTTATCTTTATATACTAGCTACCATCTGATAAGTCAGTTTATGTTCCACCTCCTTTGATTGACTGAACCAATGACAGCTTGATCCCAGTTCAAGAAGACATGATATTTGGGAATTTAACTTTACAGGGCAATTCTGAGGGAGTCTCATTTAGCAGGCATTATACTCATTAAGTGTATGTCTGATTGCAGCCATAATTGCTTATTGTTTAATATGTGGACTGTGTAGAACTAGGAAATTAACTTTTGGATGTGAGTTTGTTGATAGCACAGCTGAGAGGGAAGAATTCCTGGCTTCTGTAGCATTTTGTGATGGCATCTAACAGTGGTTCATTTTGAGTTCCCTTCGGGATTGATAAAGCGGGGTATAAATAAATCGAAATATCATAATAGTTCAGATTAGGTTTACATTGAATTTGCTCCACAAATAGTAGTACTACTTTGAGATTGTTATTAGCTGCTACTAAATCCTGGAATTAGATCTGTTCTTCTTAAGGTATCTTATATGAGGAACTGGCAGGATTTCCCCCTCTTCCTCTCCAATATATCAGGGACCAGAGTTCAACTTAGAGGAACACTGCTTTAGGTAATGGTTAATTAAAAACATTTTTAAAATCCCTGTGAATGTGTCATTAAAGATATCTCATCTAAAACAACATTTCAATACTAATGATTCTTGGGGCCATGGTGGTGCAGCAGATTAAACCGCTAAGCTGCAGAACTGGCTGACCGGAAGATCAGTGGTTTGAATCCGAAGGATAGGGTACGCTCCTGCTGTTTGCCCCAGCTTCTGCTAACCTAGCAGTTAGAAAACATGCAAATATGAGTAGATAAATAAGTACTGCTTCGGCGAGAAGGTAAAGACACTCCATGCAATCATGCCAGCCACATGACCTTGGAGGTGTCTATGGACAATGCTGGCTCTTCAGCTTAGAAATAGAGATGAGCATCACCCCCCAGAGTCAGGCACGACTACACTTAATGTCGAGGGGAAACTTTTACCTTTACTACTAAGGATTCTAAAATTTTGTCTTTCTGTAGTTATTGGAATATTTTGTTGAAGAATACTTTGATCAGAATCCAATCAGTCAGGTATGTATATGTGCCACCACTGTGCATTACCCTATATAAATGTAATTCAAATCTCCATTGTCCTGGGAATACTATAAGCAATAAAAACCTTTCTTGCAGGTTGGCATTATTATAACTAAAGGCAAAAGAGCTGAAAAACTGACAGAACTTGCAGGTACGGAATTAGGATTTCTTGAGTTCTTTCTGTATTGACCAGGATTTCTGAATCTACATTGTCCACCAGTTATGATTCAAACAATATACATGTTTCATGTTGCATCAGTAGTGTTATGTGTTATTGTTATATTTAGTTATATCCTACCTTTCTCCCAGGAATGAGACTCGAGACAGCTAACAGCATCTTTAAAACACCATAACAGCATATTTAAAACTTCAACCAAACTATAAATGTGACAGTTATTGAAAAGACAGTTAAACAGTTTATAAAATTAAAACTTATTAAAATTAATTAAAAGACTGCATGCAAACTTTAAAGACAGTGCTACACAGCATTAAAATTGCACCCTAGTTGGGTTATGAAAACTTGAATGCATAAAATGTTTTTATTTCCTTAGTGGGAGGAGAGCAAGGATTGGATTGTCCTAGTTTCTTGTGGGAGGAAGTAGCAAAGTCTGGGAGTCCAGTCACTGAGAAGGCCTTTGCCCTTGTTCTCACCAAATGAATCTGGGAAGTTGATGGAATAGAGAGAAGGCTCTTGCTAAAATAGGCATGGGCAGCCGGTAGGCTGTTAAGAATTAAGGGAGTTGAAGTCCAAAACACCCAGAACAGTGGTTCTCAGCCTGAGGGTCCCCAGGTGTTTTGGCCTACAACTCCCAGAAATCCCAGCCAGTTTACCATCTGTTAGGATTTTTGGGAGTTGAAAGTGAAAACATCTGAGGACCCCCAGGTTGAGAACCACCGACCTAGAAGATCATAGAGCTTTCATGGACTCATAAGGAGAGATATCCAATCCAGCTCAAAAGTTAACTAAAATGCACATGAATTTTATGGAAAGGTGTTAGAAGGGGAGTACGGTAGTTTTTTTAAAAAGAGAATATTTCCATAGTTTGTTCAAAAGCAATTGCTTTTTTCAAGCCAGAGCTGAGTGGCAGGGAAGTAGTAATACTTCTGATATTCCTCCTAACTGGCTGGGCATAGTGCTGATTGGGTGGCCCATGTGACTTTACAAACATCAGAGCAAGTTTTCAATTTTAGAAAAAGTTTTGATTTTGTGGCATTTCTACCTTTCATTCAGTTGTCGTGCTAGCCTCTGGTACTTTAGGTTCATGCACTTCCTTTGTGCCGGCTTGTCAATAAAAGCCACATTTGATCCCAGAAAAGTTTTTTCTCCCTGGACGGTTCCTTCTTTTCACGTTAATTGTGCTCTGATAATGTGTGAATTCTTTTCAAAGGCAATCCAAGGAAACACATAACTGCTTTGAAAAAAGCTGTGGATATGACCTGCACAGGAGAGCCTTCCCTATATAATGCCTTAAATCTGGCTACACAGACATTAAAGTAAGTGGAGACTAGAAGTGTTTTCTTTTTAAAACAACAAAATGTATGTATTTGCTTGATTATACTCACTCTTAAGAAAGACAGATAACAGCAAAGTGATTTACCTCTGTCCCACAATATTTGATGAACTTAGGAGCACAAGACAAAAAACCTTCAAATTAAAAAAAAAATCAGTTTTTTCTACCCGAGAGAAACTCTAGGAATTTGTAGCTTTGCCAGCACATCTCTCAAAATTGCATTAAAGGATCGAGAGATTCCTAGATGTGTATTCTCTGTAAAAAATCTCTAGGTTCTTTAGCATGTTTGGTAGAAGTTGATCATAGGGTCAACACTGTATGATCTAAATATTCCTAGAGAGAACATTTTTTATCAAATCTGTGACTAATCAAATCCACAAAAGTCAAAACCGCAAATCAGGTGGGATGACTGTATTAATAGCCTGTTAATTTTTAGTATCAGTGTATGATTTCAGGGGCCTTCACACAAGTACTGTGGTTCCTCCCCTTTTTTCTGTTTTATCTAAAGTCTGCAAAACCAGAAAGGAAATAGAAGTTGTTTCTGCTGCTGTTTTCCTCTTGGTTATTCTGCAAATTTAAAGTGTAAAATTATAGTAGGGCCCCATATCCACAGAAGATGTATTTCCAGACTTGGTGTGGATACATGAAACTGCAGATAATAGTGAACCCTATTACAATGAAGGATCTCCAGTCCAGGAATACCATGGAGTTGCACCTAGAAAGACCTAGAAAACATCTAAAGAAGAAGACATATTTTCTCAGATATGGGTAAATGAAGCTGGGTACAAATCCCACGGATATAGGGGTTGTACTATATTCTAATTGCTAGCAAGTGCTATCTGACATTGAGAAATACTTAAAGCCTTCATGGTTTGTTTCCTTTTGGCTTTTAGCAGCCTTGATTGAGCTGTCAAACTAAATAGTGAACACAAACATGCATTCATATGTGTACATGCACCCATAACCAGCATATGTTGTGGGTGTGTACATGCAAATATATGTATCCAATCTTATTTTTGTGCATCAAAGGCTGGTGTCTTTTCTTTACATAAGACAAATCTCAACTGTTTTATCTTTGCCATAGTTGGTGATAAACAGCAAAGCAGAGGGCCTTTCTTACATGTCTCACTAACTAATGCCATCCTTTGACATGTTGAGAAATGGGTCTGAGAGAGGAAATAAAATATGAATCTTGTCTATATAATATATTTGGTCTAGTTTAGGAGGGAGCTGATAATTGGGTGTCTGAAGTGAATGAGGGAGGGAACTGAGAGCTTTGAGAGGAGTGCAGTAGATATAATGTGTTACTTTCAGAGATGTCAACATGTGAGCCTGATGTTCTGAAACAGCCTTTTGTTCAAGTAAACCATTTGTTTTTGTTTAGTTTTAACCTCTGTCTGCTTACTAAGACTTTCAAATGCACACACACAAACTTCAGCCCATAAAAAACATACATCGTAGTCCATAGCAGGAGACATCCTAGGGGCCCTAAGTGTTACATCCAAAGTGTAACTCTGTTAATGTAGGATATATCATTCAGTATTTACTTTTATAACAAGCACAAGTAACATACCTTACTCTCTACAGACATATGCCAGGACACACAAGTCGAGAGGTTTTAGTAATATTCAGCAGCCTGAACACATGTGATCCCACCAATATATATGATCTTATTAAGGTATGGATTCTTTTAGTTTGCTTTTGGTGTTTTTAATTCTTTGAAAATGCTAATTGAATACTGGACAGCTTGTCTGATAATGGGTATAATTCAAAGAGATCTGCTTGATTAGAGAGAGAGCGTTTGTCACAAAACACTGGATTTTTGTGTCTCTTGCAATTACATATTTTCTCCCTGAATATTTTTTTCCTTTCTTCCTTCATGGTGAAGTCTTTAAAGACACTTAAGATAAGGGTGTCTGTTATTGGCCTTTCCGCTGAAGTCCGAGTTTGTACTGTACTTGCCCGGGAAACTGGTGGTATGTATGTATGTATGTATGTATGTATGTATGTATGTATAGTGAATTAATCACAACATATGCACTAGGCCTGGGTAACAACGCAAAAATTTGTTTCTAAAATCGATTTGTAATTGGGGTGTTTTTTTGTTTCGATATTTAAAATAAATCCTTTGCTCCAGCAAAGGATCACCGCCTTGTCGGGGCGCTGGAGCTTGAGCACCTCAATGATGTCATGAGCGAAAACGTGAAGGGACACCCAAGACGGGACGGTTGTGGCAGAGAGGTCAGACCAAGCGTGATCCCTGGGGAAGGCAATGGCAAACCACTCCAGTATCCTTGCCAAGAAAACTAAATGGACCAGTACAACCAGAGATATGTCGGTATGCCATTGGAAGATGGGACTCCCAGGTCGGAAGATGGCCAAAATGCTACTGGGGAGGAGCAGAGGATAAGTTCAACTAGCCCCAGATGTGATGACGCAACTAGCTCAAAGCCGAAAGGAAGGCTAGCGGCCGACGGTACTGGAGGTGAACGACGAATCCGATGCTAAAGATCAACACACCATAGGAACCTGGAATGTAAGATCTATGAGCCAGGGCAAACTGGATGTTGTTATTGGTGAGATGTCAAGACTAAAGATAGACATTCTGGGGGTCAGCGAACTGAAATGGACTGGAATGGGCCACTTCACATCAGATGACCACCAGATCTACTACTGCGGACAAGAGGAACATCGAAGAAATGGAGTAGCCTTCATAATTAATAAGAAATTCGCTAAAGCGGTGCTTGGATACAACCCAAAAAATGACAGAATGATCTCAATTCGAGTGCAAGGAAAGCCTTTCAACATTACAGTGAACCAAATATACGCCCCAACCACAGCTGCTGAAGAAGCAGAAGTAGATCAGTTCTATGAGGATCTGCAGGACCTACTGGATAATACACCAAAAGAGACATTATTTTCATTACAGGAGACTGGAATGCCAAGGTGGGAAGTCAAATGACAACTGGGATCACAGGCAAGCATGGTCTGGGAGAACAAAATGAAGCGGGACGCAGGCTGATAGAATTTTGCCAGGAAAACTCGCTGTGTATAACGAATACTCTCTTCCAACAACCTAAAAAACGGCTTTACACATGGACCTCACCAGACGGTCAACACCGAAATCAGATTGACTACATCCTTTGCAGCCAAAGGTGGCGGACATCCATCCAGTCGGTGAAAACAAGACCTGGGGCTGACTGTAGCTCAGATCACGAACTTCTTATTGCCAATTTAGAATAAAACTAAAGAGATCAGGGAAAATACACAGACCAGTTAGATATGATCTCACTAACATTCCTAGCGAATATACAGTGGAAGTGAAGAACAGATTTGAAGGACTAGATTTAGTAAACAGAGTCCCAGAAGAACTATGGACAGAAGTCCGAGACATTGTTCAGGAGGCGGCAACAAAGTACGTCCCAAAGAAAAAGAAAACCAAGAAGCCAAAATGGTTGTCTGCTGAGACACTGGAAGTAGCCCAAGAAAGGAGGAAAGCAAAAGGAAACAGGGATAAGGGAGATATGCCCAGTTAAATGCGCAATTCCAGAGGTTAGCCAGAAGAGATAAGGAACTATTTTTAAATAAGCAATGCATGGAAGTGGAAGAAGACAACAGAATAGGAAGGACAAGAGACCTCTTCCAGAAAATTAGAAACATTGGAGGTAAATTTCAGGCAAAAATTGGTATGATAAGAAACAAAGATGGCAGGGACCTAACAGAAGCTGAAGAGATCAAGAGAAGGTGGCGAGACTATACAGAAGATCTTTACAGGAAGGATAATAATATTGAGGATAGTTATGACGGTGTGGTGAATGAATTAGAACCAGACATCCTGAGGAGTGAGGTTGAATGGGCCTTAAGAAGCATTGCTAACAACAAGGCAGCAGGAGACGACGGGATCCCAGTGAACTGTTTAAAATCTTAAAAGATGATGCTGTCAAGGTGATGCATGCCATTTGCCAGCAAATATGGAAAACACAAGAATGGCCATCAGATTGGAAAAAATCAACTTATATCCCCATACCAAAAAAGGGAAATGCGAAAGACTGCTCAAACTTCCGTACAGTGGCCCTTATTTCTCATGCCAGTAAGGTAATGCTCAAGACCCTTCAAGGAAGACTCCAGCAATACATGGAGCGAGAGTTGCCAGATGTTCAAGCTGGGTTTAGAAAAGGCAGAGGAACGAGAGACCAGATTGCCAATATCCGCTGGATAATGGAGAAAGGCAGGGAGTTTCAGAAAAACATCTACTTCTGTTATTGACTATTCTAAAGCCTTTGACTGTGTGGATCATAATAAATTGTGGCAAGTTCTTGGTGGTATGGGCATACCCAAGTCACCTTGTCTCTCTCCTGAGGAATCTGTACAAGGACCAAGTAGCAACAGTCAGAACTGACCACGGAACAACAGACTGGTTCAAGATTGGGAAGGGCGTACGGCAAGGCTGCATCCTCTCACCCAACCTTTTTAACTTGTATGCAGAACACATCATGCGATGTGCGGGGCTGGATGAATGCAAAGCTGGGGTGAAAATTGCTGGAAGAAACATTAACAACCTCAGATATGCAGATGACACCACTCTGATGGCCGAAAGCGAGGAGGAGCTGAGGAGCCTTATAATCAAGGTGAAAGAAGAAAGCGCAAAAGCCGGGTTGCAGCTAAACGTCAAAAAAACCAAGATTATGGCAACAAGAATGATTGACAACTGGAAAATAGAGGGAGAAAACGTGGAGGCCGTGACAGACTTTGTATTTCTAGGTGCAAGGATTACTGCAGATGCAGACTGGCCAGGAAATCAGAAGACGCTTACTTCTTGGGAGGAGAGCAATGTCCAGTCTCGATAAAATAGTAAAGAGTAGAGACATCAGACTGGCAACAAAGATCCGCCTAGTCAAAGCCATGGTATTCCCTGTAGTAACCTACGGAGGTGAGAGCTGGACCTTAGGGAAGGCTGAGCGAAGGAAGATCGATGCTTTTGAGCTGTGGTGTTGGAGGAAAGTTCTGAGAGTGCCTTGGACTGCGAGAAGATCCAACCAGTCCATCCTCCAGGAAATAAAGCCACACTGCTCACTGGAGGGAAGGATACTAGAGACAAAGTGAAGTACTTTGGCCACATCATGAGGAGACAGCAAAGCCTAGAGAAGACAATTATGCTGGGGAAAGTGGAAGGCAAAAGGAAGAGGGGCCGACCAAGGGAAAGATGGATGGATGGCATCCTTGAAGTGACTGGACTGACCTTGAGGGAGCTGGGGGTGGTAACGGCCGACAGGGAGCTCTGGCGTGGGCTGGTCCATGAGGTCACGAAGAGTCGGAGACGACTGAACGAATGAACAACAACAATTTAAAATAATTACAAAATTTTCCCTTAAAAAAGTTCGGTATTTACGAAATTTCGTAAATATTTACGAATCGATTCGTTAAGATGGCGGACCCCCGCGCATGCGCAAAATCACTTCCGAAGCTTCGTTATTGGCGCGGGGTCGATTCGTTAAGGTTATAACGAATCGATTCGTTAAAGCGGCGGACGCGATTGCGCATGCGCAAAAGCGACTTCCGAAACTTCGTTATTAAATACGAATCGATTCGCTATTAAAATAATAACGAATCGATTCGTTAAAACGGCGGACGCGATTGCGCAATGCTAAATGCTCTATAAACAAAATCATTTCATAAAATAAATCAAATAAAATAATCAAATAGAACAAGATATTAAGATATTAAATAAAAAAGTAATAAGATAAAGTATCCAAAACTGAGTCAATTTAATAATATAATGAAATAAACAATAATATAATAATAAAATTTAAATAAATAAAATATAAATAATAATAATAATAATAATAATAATAATAAATAACAATAAATAATATAAAATTATATAATATATACAATATAAAATAAAATAATATAATATAATAATATATTATTATATATATATTATATAAATGAAATAAATAATAATATAAATATTTAAATAAAATATAATTAAATTTATAAAATATTTATAAAATATAATTATAAATAATAATAAAAATAATATATAAAATTAAATTATAAATTATTAATATATAAAAATAATGTTATTATAAAAACTTAGAAAGTAAATATAAGAAATAAATAAAGAAAAAGTAACAAAAAGTAACAGAAATTGCACTTTGAAAAAACTCTGAAAATTATCTGGGAAGTATTTCTGTAGCAGTATTGCAAGTTAAGTAAGAAGGACCAACTTCACATTTGGGGGTGGTGTATCTTAATGTGCATCCTTAGCCCTGTTGTGGCAAGATGCCTCATACCTTTTCCTCTGCTGACGCTCACACCGCAATGCCTGCAAACTGCCAAAGTGGCCCTCTCATTATGGACGTCGTAATGATCCCATAGGAGCGATCTCGGCCTACCCCTACTAGGCACTTCAGATGTACTCATGCTCGTGTTTGGACTGTCGGTGTTTGTGGAAGGGAGTATAATCGTTGGTTGTTTCTGTAGCTCGCCCTCCATCAGCATGCAGTCCTCTTGATCACTAATTCCTGTGGTGGAAGCACATTCCATCTTGTCTTCCTCCCATTCCTCTGACACGTCTGCCTCCTCGCCCTCCTCTTCATAACAAGTAATATCAGAGGTACTTGGAACGACATCAGGATCTGAACGTAGAGTCTTTCGAACTGATGAAGAAGAAGGTTCTGCCATCTCACAGCTGGTTGAAGCATCTGTGGGTGTTTCAATAACCATCTCGTTGGATGAATGTTCCCTTCTTGTCAATGTGTTCATCTTCAGTCCCCTGCCTTTCTTCGGTATTCGCGATAGCACTTGGCCCTTGCGACTAGAAAAGCCGGGAAGGAAGCGTTTCATCACACTGGTTGGAACTACACAAATAATGAGCAAAAGGAGCGCACTGGTTGGAACTACACAAATAATGAGCGAGCACTGTATTATAGCACTTTGTGTTGGCAAAAGGAGCGCACTGGTTGGAACTACACAAATGAGCGAGCAGTGTATGTAGCACTTTGTGTTGGCAAAAGGAGCGCACTGGTTGGAACTACACAAATGAGCGAGCACTGTATTATAGCACTTTCTGTTGGCAAAAGGAGCGCACTGGTTGGAACTACACAAATGATGAGCGAGCAGTGTATGTAGCACTTTGTGTTGGCAAAAGGAGCGCACTGGTTGGAACTACACAAATGAGCGAGCAGTGTATGTAGCACTTTGTGTTGGCAAAAGGAGCGCACTGGTTGGAACTACACAAATGAGCGAGCACTGTATTATAGCACTTTGTGTTGGCAAAAGGAGCGCACTGGTTGGAACTACACAAATGAGCGAGCACTGTATTATAGCACTTTCTGTTGGCAAAAGGAGCGCACTGGTTGGAACTACACAAATGATGAGCGAGCAGTGTATGTAGCACTTTGTGTTGCCAAAAGGAGCGCACTGGTTGGAACTACACAAATGAGCGAGCACTGTATTATAGCACTTTGTGTTGGCAAAAGGAGCGCACTGGTTGGAACTACACAAATGATGAGAGCACTGTATTATAGCACTTTCTGTTGGCAAAAGGAGCGCACTGGTTGGAACTACACAAATGAGCGAGCAGTGTATGTAGCACTTTGTGTTGGCAAAAGGAGCGCACTGGTTGGAACTACACAAATGAGCGAGCACTGTATTATAGCACTTTGTGTTGGCAAAAGGAGCGCACTGGTTGGAACTACACAAATGAGCGAGCACTGTATTATAGCACTTTGTGTTGGCAAAAGGAGCGCACTGGTTGGAACTACACAAATGAGCGAGCACTGTATTATAGCACTTTGTGTTGGCAAAAGGAGCGCACTGGTTGGAACTACACAAATGAGCGAGCACTGTATTATAGCACTTTGTGTTGGCAAAAGGAGCGCACTGGTTGGAACTACGCAAATGAGCAAGCACTGTATTATAGCACTTTGTGTTGGCAAAAGGAGCGCACTGGTTGGAACTACACAAATGACAAACGCACACACAGCCACCGAAGAGTCTTTTATTTTTTTAGAATTTTTTTGTATTTTTTTTAAGAATAAAAGACAGGTATTTTAAAAAATATTCAAAAATGGAAAATTAACCAAAAACTGGCCCTGATGTGGACCAAACACAGCCACGAGACAGGGCAAACGAGAGCACACACCAACAGAAGAGTCTTTTCTTTTTTTAGAATATTTTTTTTTTTTTTTAAGAATAAAAGACAGGTATTTTTAAAAAATATTCAAAAATGGAAAATTAACCAAAAACTGGCCCTGATGTGGACCAAACACAGCCACGAGACAGGGCAAACGAAGAGCACACACCAACAGAAGAGTCTTTTCTTTTTTAGAATATTTTTTGTATTTTTTTAAGAATAAAAGACAGGTATTTTTAAAAAATATTCAAAAATGGAAAATTAACCAAAAACTGGCCCTGATGTGGACCAAACACAGCCACGAGACAGGGCAAACGAGAGCACACACCAACAGAAGAGTCTTTTCTTTTTTAGAATATTTTTTGGTTTTTTTTTAAGAATAAAAGACAGGTATTTTTAAAAAATATTCAAAAATGGAAAATTAACCAAAAACTGGCCCTGATATGAAGCAAACACAGCCACGAGACAGGGCAAATGAGAGCACACACCAACAGAAGAGTCTTTTCTTTTTTAGAATATTTTTTGTATTTTTTTAAGAATAAAAGACAGGTATTTTTAAAAATATTCAAAAATGGAAAATTAACCAAAAACTGGCCCTGATGTGGACCAAACACAGCCACGAGACAGGGCAAATGAGAGCACACACCAACAGAAGAGTCTTTTCTTTTTTTAGAATATTTTTTGTATTTTTTTAAGAATAAAAGACAGGTATTTTTTAAAAATATTCAAAAATGGAAAATTAACCAAAAACTGGCCCTGATGTGGACCAAACACAGCCACGAGACAGGGCAAACGAGAGCACACACCAACAGAAGAGTCTTTTCTTTTTTTAGAATATTTTTTGTTTTTTAAGAATAAAAGACAGGTATTTTTAAAAAATATTCAAAAATGGAAAATTAACCAAAAACTGGCCCTGATGTGGACCAAACACAGCCACGAGACAGGGCAAACGAGAGCACACACCAACAGAAGAGTCTTTTTTAGAATATTTTTTGTATTTTTTTAAGAATAAAAGACAGGTATTTTTTAAAAAATATTCAAAAATGGAAAATTAACCAAAAACTGGCCCTGATGTGGACCAAACACAGCCACGAGACAGGGCAAACGAGAGCACACACCAACAGAAGAGTCTTTTCTTTTTTTAGAATATTTTTTGTTTTTTTTAAGAATAAAAGACAGGTATTTTTAAAAAATATTCAAAAATGGAAAATTAACCAAAAACTGGCCCTGATGTGGACCAAACACAGCCACGAGACAGGGCAAATGAGAGCACACACCAACAGAAGAGTCTTTTCTTTTTTAGAATATTTTTTGTATTTTTTTAAAGAATAAAAGACAGGTATTTTTAAAAATATTCAAAAATGGAAAATTAACCAAAAACTGGCCCTGATGTGGACCAAACACAGCCACGAGACAGGGCAAATGAGAGCACACAGCAACAGAAGAGTCTTTTCTTTTTTAGAATATTTTTTGTATTTTTTAAGAATAAAAGACAGGTATTTTTAGAAAATATTCAAAAATGGAAAATTAACCAAAAACTGGCCCTGATGTGGACCAAACACAGCCACGAGACAGGGCAAACGAGAGCACACACCAACAGAAGAGTCTTTTCTTTTTTAGAATATTTTTTGTATTTTTTTAAGAATAAAAGACAGGTATTTTTAAAAAATATTCAAAAATGGAAAATTAACCAAAAACTGGCCCTGATATGAAGCAAACACAGCCACGAGACAGGGCAAACGAGAGCACACAGCAACAGAAGAGACTTTTCTTTTTTAAGAATATTTTTTTTTAAAGAATAAAAGACAGGTATTTTTAAAAAATATTTAAAAATGGAAAATTAACAAACAAATTGACAAAAACCGAAGGAAGGAATGAATCCAAGCAAGGAATTAATAATAAGCAGCAAGGAATGAATCCAAGCAAGGAATGAATAAGCAAGGAATGAATCCAATCCAAGCTTAGCCAGTTGCAAGCCAACCCAATGCACGCCACCCTCCCGGACCTCTTCTCTTCTCCCTCGCCTCTGCAACAATGAGCTGTACGGCCGCGCGGAGCCGCTTTTAAAGGGCTTGCCGGCCAATCAGAAACAGCCACGGTGCACTGCTTGGGTGCTTGGGAGCGCCGGATTGGCTCCCAGGGCACCAGCATCCTCCATCCCATTTACGAAACGGGCGGAAGCTCGTTAAAAGTATGGGGGATGCCGTTTCGTTATTTTAAAACCCTTCCGGGTTTGAAAATGTGTTTTGTAATCGTTTTGTAATTGCTAAAAATAACGAATATTTAACGAATTACAAAATTAACGAACGAAACCGCCCAGGCCTAATATGCACTATTCCTTATGTTTAGAAAATGTGAGGAAGTAGATGTGTGTGGAAACAATTTCCATTATTTTATTTGTTTACTTATAAAATATATACCTTGTCTCTTAATCATTGTTTGAACCCAGGATAGGTTCCATTATAAAACCAATATAATTTGCATGAATTGCTAAGTACTGAACATAAAAGTGAATAAATTGTAGTTAATATGCATTCATTGACATAAAACTCAATGTATTTAATTGAAAGTGAAGTGTTTCAAAAACTGGAAATGTTAAATTGATCTTTAATTTAGTAGCTGTGTAGTAAAAAGTTCAAGTGTGTTTGCATGTAATATGTACAAAACAGTAAGTAAAGATGGTGAATTTTTACATAATCCATGCAGTCAGTACAATGGGGATTAGCCAGGTGCTTCTTCACATCAAGGTTATTTATCTCTTCCGGCTTGTGATGGAGTTAAATACAGAATTTTTCTTCATTTTATTGTTGCATAGTCATATTTTAAATAGGCACATAAAGTGGTCAAAAACAGAAAGTTTTCTTGGCTTCCCTGTCCACATGTGTTATTCAAGTCTGACAAAAAAAGAAAACAATCATTGACTTTCTAGACTTTCCTTGCTTGGCCATTTTTGATTTAATCATCACAGGGAGCCAAGTTAGACGTTATTTATAAGTTTTTCCTCAGTTAATTTAACTTTTCTTTCATTTCTTTTTATGTGTATCTGTGGTAGGAACTTACCATGTCATTTTAGATGAAAGCCACTATAAGGAACTATTGATGCACCATGTAAGTCCACCACCAGCAACTTCAGGTTCTGAAAGCTCCCTAATTCGAATGGGTAAGAATTCTTACTTTTTCTTAATATGTCAATAGTGATCACACATTTTTCTTAAACATATAACTAGCATTGTTTGTTCTGTGGTCCAATTTTCTGTATTTTAGCATGAAATGGATGGGCCACAATGAACTTTGTCTTCCTTTCCTGCAGGTCACATGTCTTCACATCTGTTTTAGTGTAACAACAATTTAGCATTTGTCTGAATTCCAAAATTTGATTAATCTTTACTGTGAAACAAGCCAGCTTTGTAAATTCAGTTATAAAATTGGTTTATTTCAACAAATCATATTAAAAATAACCATAAGTGTCAGATTTGCATGATGATTATTTGGGTATCACAGCAAGCTTAATTAAAATTGGGAATGGTCACACATCTGGAGGAAGGATTGTGCTCCAAACAGTATCTAAATCGAACACTGCTTTTTAAAAAAATAATTTTCAATATATCTGTATTCCCCCCCCCCCCCCCTTTTAGGCTTCCCTCAGCATACTATTGCCTCTTTGACTGATCAGGATGCAAAACCGTCTTTTAGCATGGCGTAAGTGAGGTGTGATTATGATCAGTGTTTTATGCATCATAATATTAAAAATAGATAGATCTGTGATTTCTTTGAAATGTTGGAGTGAGGAAGCACTGTTTTTAATGCGTTGTTGAAGGCTTTCATGTGTGGAATCAGTTGGTTGCTGTGAGTTTTCCGGGCTGTATGGCCATGTTCCAGAAGCATTCTCTCCTGACATTTCACCCGCATCAATGGCATTAATCCTCAGAGGTTATAAGGTCTGTTGGAAACTTGGCAAGTGAGGTTTATATATCTGTGGAATGTCCAGGGAGGGAAAAAGAACTCTTGTCTGTTTGAGGCAAGTGTGAATGTTGCAATTGATCACCTTAATTAGCATTGAATTACTCTTCAAAGCCTGGCTGGTTGTTACCTGGAGGCATCCTTTGTTGGGAGGTGTTAGCTGGCCCTGATTGTTTCCTACCTGGATTTCTTCTGTTTTCAGAGTGTTGTTCTTTATTTACTGCCCTGATTTCAGAGTTTTTTTTAATACTGGTAGCCAGACCTCACAACCTCTGAAGATGCCTGCCATAGGCATCCTCCGTCAGGAGAGAATGCTTCTGGTACATGGCCATACAGCTCAGAAAACTCACAGCAACATAGCAATATTATTGTTTTCATTTTGCTTCAAAGTAGCCTGGCATGGCCACATCACTTACATGCTGGACCGTCTTGAATTTTGTTCTTTGTAAAATTATAAATATTATAAACTTAGTTGAACCAACATTCTGTGAAAGTGTTCAGGAGTCACTGTCTTACAATGCCTATAAGACAGTTTTATTGCACTGTACGTGCATAGGTTTACTATCAAAGATGTCCATAGATGTCTTTCCAGCAGAATACTTATTGTAAGCCAAACTCATTTTATTTTTCAACAAATTTGAGCAAAATCTTTAACATAAGAATTACATTTATTGTGGACGTCCAATGGCATGTCTGAACATCACAAGTAATCCTGTGGAAATAACAGAAATGTTTTTTGTATAGCATTTTCACCCACGCAAACGTACTCTTCTTTACAGGCACCTGGAAAACAGCAGTGAGCCAGGCCTTACATTGGGAGGGTATTTCTGCCCCCAGTGTAGAGCCAAATACAGTGAACTTCCTGTGGAGTGCAAAGTTTGTGGTGAGTTAATAATGTATTTATATTTGGCCATTGCAATGAAGTGTAATGGGAGTTACAAAAAGGAAAAAGCAGGCAAGAAAATCACAGGATTTTATTCTTGATCAAGATGACCTCGCAGCATAGTGACCTAGTCCTCTGAAGAATATCTACTTGTGCACAGTCTTTAGTAAAACATTTGTGTTATGATTAGAGGACACAAGTCCATAATTTATGAATGTATCATGTTTAGTAGAAAACACTTCCATCTCAGCTTCTTGCAGACTGTCAGTACATGGATATGAGAGACCTTCAGGGCACTCCAATGTTCCTTATCAGTTCTTTTAGAATAGATCAAAGTGTCTGTCAATGGAAGGCTATGTTTGGAGTCAATGTACTGGCCTAAGGTTAATCAAGAAAAGTGTTCATACAGTAAATGCAGAAAAATGTCAAGATTGCAGTAGGTGGATGATGTCAAATAAAACAGTAACGCATTGAAATTATGCATTCAACGCTCATTTCGGTTTAATGACTATCAAGGGGACAATGAGAGCTTGAGTTCTAGCTCTGCAAGCACAGAATGATTCAATCTTATTGCGGGAAGGGAACCTACGGACCATTGTGTCTAATCCCCTGCCATGAGCTGCAGCACCAGCGTAAAGCAGCCTGAGAGTCACCAAATAAAAATCTGTTACCTTACTGATGGTTTGCAAGGTTCAGTCTAAGAGGGCAAAGTGGAAATATAACTGAATGAGATCATTTGTTAAAAATGTAAATTTGTATGAGACTGTTGGATTTGTAATTCCTTAAGTGAACGAACCCAGAGGGTGCTCACCAATGCTTCCTCTTCATCCTGGAAAGAAGTGACGAGTGAAGTGCCATAAGCAGGGTTCCGTCCTGGGCCCAGTTCTGTTCAACATCTTTATTAATGACTTAGATGAAGGGTTAGAAGGCAGGATCATCAAGTTTGTGATTTATCCTCTTCAGCAAATATCCTGTTATATTTTTGTAGGTCTTACGTTAGTATCTGCACCTCATCTGGCTCGATCTTACCATCATCTCTTTCCTTTGGATGCCTTTCAGGAGGTTCCTCTGGAAGAGTATACAGGAGAACGGTACATAAAAATGTCTAATAAAATTAAACTAAAAGTTAGGAGTTTATTTTTCAGCAATACAGTTTCTGTATATCTCTTCCCCTTTGTAAACCTTGTTTTGTTGTTATGTACCTTTACCATCATGAATTTTGGGGATGATGAGGGTGGGTGGTATTTTGGGGGCTGTGTAATTTTAAGTGTAGTTTTAAATGTATGCGAATGTTTCTATGTTCATGTCATAAATAATTTAATTGGTTTTTTAAAAAAAAAATAATGTATCTATATTTTAGTGCATTCGCTTTGTTTTAATTGTGTCATGTTTTTTGTTTGTGGTCTTGAGTCCCCATATCAGGAGAAAAGCAGGATAAAAATAAAGTAAATAAATAAAATGTGACATAGTTGTGGTATATGGGATTATTATTTGGTATCATTAGTAACATGTAAAATATTGTTTGATTATCTATCAAGAACCTCTCAAACACCATCATGAATCTTCATGAGAGGATTGTGTTTAACCATTGTTTCTAATATAGTTTTGTAAATATCTCTTCAAATAGCTATTGTCAAGGATGTCATGGAGATATCGGAGATCAACATGTAAGTCTTCCGTTTTCAACCTTTCAACCTACATTATGTTTTCTTTTCTTTCTGTGAATTCTTGATGATGATGAAAAAGTTACCTGTGATCATGTTTATACATCAGGCAATGTGGGACCATTTCGGTTTAATACACAGAGTGATGCTTTGGTTAAAATATTGATGTTTAATTAATGAATATACATTGATTGTTGGTTAAATGAGTAAATATATACGTTCTGTCTCATGACAGTTAATTTTAAAGTGTTCAGAATCATTGGGGGGCTGATATTAAATATACTTAGAAACTCTTTATATTAACTCATCATATACTTTTTCAAGATAAATTGTTATATATTGAACAATTTTTGGTCAGTTTCCAATCTTCCCTTTTTTGGGCAAAGTCATCAAACACGTGGTAGCCTCGCAACACCAGGTATTCTTGGAGGAGACTGATTATCTGGTCTGGCGCAGTCTGGCTTTAGGCCGGTTCATGGAACTGAAACAGCCTTGGTCGCCTTAGTGGTTGATCTGCGTAGGGAACTTAACAGGGGGAATGTGTCCCTATTGGTTCTCCTGGACCTCTTATTGGCCTTTGACACCAAGGCAGAAAATCCCACAATATCTGCTTTGAACTGGGTTATCTCTGTCCACACTGCCATATATTTCAGTTCAAAGCAGATAATGTGGGATTTTAATCAGCTGTGTGGAAGGGGCCCTAACCTCCAGAGCAACAGAAAACAAGCTTGCCCCCTCCTTTTAAATATTCAAACATTGCTATCATGCCTACCCTCAGTCTTCTTTTCTATTCTTTATATACCTCTAGCCTTTCTTTGGGCTCCCTGGTGGCACAGCAGGTTAAACTGCTGAGCTGCTGAACTTGCTGACTGAAAGGTTGGCAGTTCGAATCCAGAGAGCAGGGCGAGCTCCTGCATTTTGGCCCAGCTTCTGCCAACCTAGCCTTTCGAAAACATGCAAATGTGAGTAGATTAATAGGTATTGCTTCTGCGGGAAGGTAACGGTGCTCCATGCAGTCATGCTGACCACATGACCTTGGAGGCCTCTACAGACAACGCTGGCTCTTCGGCTTAAAAATGGAGATGAGCATCAGAGCCAGACATGACTAGACTTAATGTCAGGGGAAACCTTACCTTTACCTGTAGCCTTTTTTCTTTAATTATTGAAGTGTTTAGCTTGGTCATAAATAACAACGAGAAGGAGAGCCCAGAACCTTAGGTCATCTGATTCCCAGCAGGCTTTTAGCCACCCTGATGGCTTTTAAGGTAAAGGTAAAGGTTGTCCCCTGACATTAAGTCCAGTCATGTCTGACTCTGGGGTGTGGTGCTCATCTCCATTTCTAAGCCGAAGAGCCCGCGTTGTCCATAGACACCTCCAAGGTCATGTGGCCGGCATGACTGCATGGAGCACCGTTACCTTCCCGCCGGAGCGGTACCTATTGATCTACTCACATTTGCATGTTTTTGAACTGCTAGGGCTGACAGCGGAAGCTCACGCCGCTCCCTGGAATCGAACTTGCAACCTTTCGGTCAACAAGCTCAGAAGCTCAGCACTTTAACCCACTGCGCCACCGGAGGCTCTGTTCCTGTTGGCTTTTAGGTGCTAACAAATTGAAGCAACAATAAGTAAACAAACTAATTGAAACAGAAGGGCAGCATAGAAAATATGAAATGTAAACTAATACAGTACCATTCATAAGTTATCCTTGCCATATAACCAATCATACAATACATAGATAGCCTGCTCCAAAACACACCAGTTTCATACTATTTAATTTAGAAACCCGATTAAATATTGGAAAAGACAAGTTGGTAGCAAGGAAACCCCATAGTTCTTGCCCTATCTTACCAATTTTACCAACAAGTCATGGGAAACACTGGATGAGATCCAACATAGCAAAACAATTTTAAATTGTGTTGTATATTCAAATCAGCAATCATTTTATTGCTTTTACTTCCTGTGATTTCACTTTGATATTTCTAATCTTTCCCTCTAGGTCTACATCTGTAAAGAATGCCAGAGTGGTTTTTGTGTGGATTGTGACATTTTTGCTCATGAAATACTGCACTGCTGTCCAGGTTGCATTCACAAACTTCCTGCTTCGTCTCCTTCTACCTCTGCCTCTACCTCTGCTGCTGCCTCTGCCTTTGCCTCTGCCTCTACGTGATGTCCATTCGCTTCACCATCACTTCTGGTTATATTCCTGTGGCCTGAGTATCCAATTAGGCTACTTCCACACAGCTGTATAAAATCCATATTGAACTGGATTATGTGACAGTGTGGACTCAGATAATCTAGTTGTGGATTATCTGCCTTGATATTCTGGGTTATATGGCTATGTGGAAGGACCCTAAATTTAGTGTTTTTAGTGAAGGAGGTTAAAGCTGAGGAAGAGTGCTTGGCTGTATTCTTACATAAATATTATTTTCATACTCTTTCGGTAGTAATTGTGCTTGTACACTGTAACTTGTTTTTGAAGAGTTTGATTTGTGTTGTAATATCCGTTTTGTATTCCTGAGTACAAAAATGATAAACTAAATATAAAAGTGTCCAACTGGGTATGTGTTGTTATTCTTACTATTGTATTCCTTCAAGTCATTTCTGATTTATCACAACTCTTAAAACAAACCTGTAAATTTTCTGAGGCTGAGAGTGTGTGACTTGTCCATAGGGTTTCCTTTGCTGAGCAAGTATTCAAACCCTTTGAATCCTGGCAGAAAATAAAGAATAGAAAAAAGTGGATTGGAGGGAAAGGAGAAAAAATTAGACACAGTGGTGGAATTATAAGCATCCAGGTCCAGCAAGTTCCATTTGTTGATACATAAAGCTCCAGACTTCATTGTTTGAAAGCATATTCTTCATGTCATTTCTTCTAGCCATGGGGATTCTTTAAAATGAGAAATCAATAGAGGTTAGATTTTCAGAATGAGTTCAAATTTTGCTTCTTGAAAAACATAGTTCATCTGGATGCTTCAAGACTTGGTCAAAATGATATGAAATAGCATAAACAAAAATCGCAGGATAATGCAGACTGAAAAACAGAGGAATGCTGTAAATAAACCAAAAGAACAGACCGCAGTATGCCCTCCGCAAGAAGATAAAGTCACAAAAGTAGAAAACAGAGGAGAAGGGGAAATTCCAGTAAAGGGCTGGGAAAGGAATGAACTAATTCTATTTTGCCTCTGTATTTTAATCGAAGATAATTTTGTCAGTTCGTGACACTAGATTACAACAAGAAGATCTGTAGCTTATCCAGCCTGGCCAAATATTTCAGGGATTGTGCTCAGGGATTCGTGGTTCTTACTGCTGTACTCACCACTTCTTTTTCCAAAATCAAAATGACATTTTGCTAATTACAGGGTATTTCAGATTTTTCTCCTCCTTTCTCATTCTTTGTATGTCTACCATGTTTTTCAAGGTAATACTTTTCAGTTGTACGAATACTTTTTATATAGAAACATTACATTGTCCCTGTCTTCAAAAAAGGCAAGGAAAAAAAGCAAAGAAATTATAGGTGAGTCGCCTTGACCTCAATACCAGGAAAAAATATTAGAAATGATTATACAGGAGTCTGCCTGCAAGGATCTTGATGACAATGTAGTGATTAGTAGAGAGCACCATTGGTGTTTGCTGGAAAATTGCTGTAAGAAACATTAACAACCTTAGATATGCAGATGACACCACTTTGATGGCCGAAAGCGAGGAGGAGGTGAGGAGCCTTCTAATCAAGGTGAAAGAAGAATGCACAAAAAGCTGGGTTACAGTTAAACATAAAAAACCCCAAAATTATGGCAACAAGAATGATTGACAACTGGGAAATAGGAGGAGAAAACATGGAGGCAGTGACAGACTTTGTATTTCTAGGTGCAAAGATTACTGCAGACACAGACTGCAGCCAGGAAATCAGGAGACAGTTACTTCTTGGGAGGAGAGCAATGTCCAATCTCGATAAAATAGTGAAGAGTAGAGACATCACACTGGCAACGAAGATCCGCATAGTTAAAGCAATGGTATTCCCCATAGCCACCTACGGATGTCAGAGCTGGAGCATAGGGAAGGCTGAGTGAAGGAAGATAGATGCTTTTGAGCTGTGGTGTTGGAGGAAAGTTCTTAGAGTGCCTTGGATAGCGAGAGGATCCAACCAGTCCATACTTCAGGAAATATAGCCTGACTGTTCATTGGAGGGAAGGATAGTAGAGGCCAAGATGAAGTACTTTGGTCACATCATGAGAAGACAGGAAAGCTTGAAGAAGACAATTATGCTGAGGAAAATGGAAGAAAAAAGGAAGAGGGGGGCGACCAAGGGCAAGATGGATGGATGGCATCCTTGAAGTGACTGGATTGACCTTGAAGGATCTGGGGGTGGTGATGGCCGACAGGGAGCTCTGGCATAGGCTGGTCCATGAGGTCACGAAGAGTCGGAAACTACTGAACAAATGAACAACAACAACCATTGGTTTGTTTGAACATATCCTACATTCTTTTTTTGATTGGGTCAGTAGATTATTAGATGGTGGCAATGCCATAAATTTCTGTTATCTGGATTTCAGCAAAACATTCTATAAGATTCCTTATGATATTTTGATAATGTAAATGCAAAATTCTACACATTGACATGAAAACCCAATGCACGGGTATAGGATGAGAGATAATAATTGGCTCAGCAGTACTAAACGTGAAAACTATCTTGGGTTTATTGTTGATTTTAGGAGCCCCCGGTGATGCAACAGGTTAAACCGCTGAGCTGCTGAACTTGATGACCAAAAGGTCACAGGTTCGAATCTGAAGAGCGGGATGAGCTCCTTCTGTTAGCCCCAGCTTCTGCCAACCTTACTTACTTCCTTAGGCGATCCCTCGTTGTCCTAATAGGATAATCTTCCAAGATCAGTGTACTGGCAGTGGGTCCGTAAGGCTTTGAGCCCACCAACATTCTGTTTTCTGTTCTTGAGTTCTGCCAATCTAGCAGTTTGAAAACATGCAAATGTGAGTAGATCAAAAGGTACCGCTCCGACGGGAAGGTAACAGCGCTCCATGCAGTCATGCCAGCTACATGACCTTGGAGGAGAACACCAGCTCTTCGGCTTAGAAATGAAGATGAGCACCAACCCCCAGAGTCAGACACGACTGAACTTAATGTCAGGGGGAAACCTTTACCTTTACCTTATATGCTAAACATGAGCCAGTAGTGTGTTGCTCATGTTTAGAAGGCTTTTTAAAAAAAAAATTAAATAATCTTGCTTTTAAAATAGTTAACTTTTGTAGCAACAAATGAAAGTGAAACATTTTCTGTTGTGGGAATGTCCCAATAAAGTAGTTCCACCACAATTCCCGGTAGATGCACTCAGTGGCAGTTGTGTCATACTCAAGAAAAACCTTCCCTTTGCCCTGTGTACATAAAATCTCGAGTCAGACGTTTCAGAATATTTCACTTCCTCCTTCCTGGAAAGGAAAGGCTTCAGATGTTTGTCATTGCCGAGAAGAACTCTCTTTGTTTTTACTGATTTCTGCAGCGTTTGGTCATTGGGTCAAGAATCAGGAAAAAGGTAAGTTCAGGTCCTGGCATGTTCTATTTGTTGAGTTTCCGGTACTGCAATTATGTGTGTGCTACCATTCTTCAGTGCACACACATTCAACCAGTGGTTGAATCCATAATTTATTTATAATGTGCATTGGAATAATACCCCAGGATAATTCACTTACTATTTAAATTACATTATAATGTTTACAATGCAGGATAGGAGGGCATAGTTGCAAACAGGATGGAAATCTATTTGCAACTATGCCATACTACCCTGCGTATCTTCCTCCAGTGTATTACCGATACTTATTTTCCTGTGATAGGAGCTCCCAGTGGTGCAGTGGGTTAAACTGCTGAGCTGCTGAACTTGTTTACTGAAAGATTGTAGGTTTGAATTCGGGGAGTGGCATGAGCTCCCGCTGTTAGCCCCAGCATCTGCCAACATAGCAGTTCGAAAACATGCAAATGTGAGTAGATCAATAGGTACTGCTCAGACAGGAAGATAATGTTTTATGATGTTTTTGGGCATCGAATCGTTGCCTCTAAACCGCCCTGAGTCGCCTGGGGGCTTTTTTTTTTGTCGTGTCAGGAGCAACCTGATAAACTGCAAGTCGCTTCTGGTGTGAGAGAATTGGCCGTCTGCAAGGACGTTGCCCAGGGGACGCCCGGATAATTTGATGTTTTATCATCCTTGTGGGAGGCTTCTCTCATGTCCCCGCATGAGGAGCTGGAGCTGATAGAGGGAGCTCATCCGCCTCTCCCTGGATTCGAACCTGCAACCTATTGGTCTTCAGTCCTGCCGGCACAGGGTTTTAACCCACTGCGCCACCAGGGGCTCTGCCTGGGGGCTGAGAAGGGCGGTATACAAATATAGTAAATATATAAATAAATAAAGGTGCTTCATGCAGTCATGCTGGCCACATGACCTTGGAGCTGTCTATGGACAATGCCAGCTCTTCAACTTAGTAATGGAGATGAGCACCAACCCCCAGAGTCAGATACGACTGGACTTAATGTCAGGGGAAAAACTTTACCTTATTTCCCTGTGAGTCTTTTTCTCTTACAGTTCCCATATCTACCTTTGAGTAGAAACTCTCACTTTAATGTGCCATAGCCCACCTCAGGTCTAATATCAACACATCTTCTCTTTTGCATCCTCACCTTCTAGCTTGTTTATATCCTAAAATACATTGATAGCTGCTCCTGTGGACAATGGATTTACACTCCTATCAAGGAGGAAAGAAAACTTGAACAGTCCTGGTCTTAATTCTGATCCAAATTGTTCCCACACCCAACTGGTTACTTATCTGGATATATCCATGCATATGTTGACCTCATATATAAGTTGAAGGCAGGTTTGGGGGTCAAAATTATGAATTTTTAGATGACCTGTGGTAATTTGAGGTAATTCTGCAGAGAGGAAAACATACCAATACCACTTCAGGGGGTGAGATGCCTCTGTTTGTTGCTGCCATTTCCCTGTCCAAGCATTCAAAAAGGCCAGAAGTGATGCCACAGTATAAAGAGTAGTGTAGCTTGGTGCTTCTTTTAGGTCCTCTCATGAAGGACTAAGTTATTGTTTGTCCCTACTTTACTCAGAGAAGGGGATGGATCCTTTCTGGAGCAAAGATGCAGTATTCACATTGACCCACTGACCCAGTTTTTTGGGTTGATATTTGACCCCGGTGCCACAGCAGGTTAAACTGCTGAGCTGCTGAACTTGCTGACCAAAAGGTCAGCAGTTTGAATCTGGGGAGCAGGGTGAGCTCCCGCTGTTAGCCGCAGCTTCTGCTAATCTGGCAGTTTGAAAACATGCAAATGTAAGTAGATCAATAGGCATCGCTTCTGTGGGAAGGTAATGGTGCTCCATGGAGTCATGCCGGCCACATGACTCCATGACTTCCATTGTAAGGTTTCTCAGATGCCATGCTCCCTGCTCCATGGCACAGCGTCTAGAGATACCGAAAGATGGGGAAAGTCTATATATACCTCTATCTATTGTCTGTCTTGTCATTGTACACTCAGCATTGAATATTTGCCATATATGTATTCTGTGATCCACTCTGAGTCCCCTTTGGGGTGAGAAGGACAGAAAATAAATCTATATAAATAAAAATGTAATGTTTGTTTGTGGGATTAACATAACTGAAAAAACACTGGTCAAATTGACACCAAATTTGGCCACAATACACCTCTCAGGCCAACAAGTGACCATCACTCATAAAAACATTGAAAAACACAGCGGAAGGGACTTCAAAAGACAAAAAAGCAAAAAGACGCTACAGTGCATGCACAAAAATGACTCTCCCTGGCAAACAAAACACACAATATCATATCCACACTCTCTTCTGGACTACAGCTCCCAGCATCCCCTAGACCAGGCCCTTTAGGAGAGGAGGATGATCCAAATGCACTGCTCCCAAGCTGCAAGATTTATTATTTATTTATTTACGACGTTTATATGCGGCCCTTTTCACCCCGAAGGGGACTCAGAGCCGCTTACAAGTAATATATAAATTTCTTTGAGAGCATCCAAATCCCTTGTTGTTGTTGTTCATTCGTTCAGTCGTCTCCGACTCTTCGTGACCTCATGGACCAGCCCACGCCAGAGCTCCCTGTCGGCCGTTACCACCCCCAGCTCCCTCAAGGTCAGTCCAGTCACTTCAAGGATGCCATCCATCCATCTTGCCCTTGGTCGGCCCCTCTTCCTTTTGCCTTCCACTTTCCCCAGCATAATTGTCTTCTCTAGGCTTTCCTGGCTCCTCATGATGTGGCCAAAGTACTTCAACTTTGTCTCTAGTATCTTTCCCTCCAGTGAGCAGTCGGGCTTTATTTCCTGGAGGATGGACTGGTTGGATCTTCTCACAGTCCAAGGCACTCTCAGCACCTTCCTCCAACACCACAGCTCAAAAGCATCGATCTTCCTTCGCTCAGCCTTCCCTAAGGTCCAGCTCTCACATCCGTAGGTTACTACAGGGAATACCATGGCTTTGACTAGGCGGATCTTTGTTGCCATTCTGATGTCTCTACTCTTTACTATTTTATCGAGATTGGACATTGCTCTCCTCCCAAGAAGTAAGCGTCTTCTGATTTCCTGGCTACAGTCTGCATCTGCAGTAATCTTTGCACCTAGAAATACAAAGTCTGTCACCGCCTCCACGGTTTCTCCCTCTATTTTCCAGTTGTCAATCATTCTTGTTGCCATAATCTTGGTTTTTTTGACGTTTAGCTGCAACCCGGCTTTTGCGCTTTCTTCTTTCACCTTGATTCCAAATCCCTACATATTTCCAATTTCCGATTCCTGGACGGCAACTCCCAGTAATCCTCCAGATAGATAGATAGATAGATTAGATAGAGATAGGTAGGTAGGTAGGTAGGTAGGTAGGTAGGTAGGTAGGTAGATCAGGAGGACTGCTGGGAGTTGTAGTCCAAGAATAGGTAGAGAAGTAAGGAAGGGGAGAAAGAGGAAGGGAATGAAAAACGGAGGAAGGAAGGGAAGAGGAAGAGAAGCAAGGAAGGAAAGGAAAGGAAGAGGGAGGGAAGGAAGGAAGAAGAGAAAGAAAGAAGAGAAAGAGGGAGAGAAGGTTGGCCACAGCAACGTGTAGCAGGTACAGCTAGTACTGTATATAAATAAAAATGTAATGTTCGTTTGTGGGATTAACATAACTCAAAAACCACTGGGTGAATTGACATGACATTTGGACATAATATACCTATCATGCCAACAAGTGACCATTATGCATAAAAACACTGAAAAAACAAAGCAAAAGAGACTTTAATAGCCAAAAAAATAAAAAAAACATTACAATGCATGTACAAAACCACACATACTGTACATACACATACACACATATCTATATTTTATTTTATGTATATAAATAAAAATGTAATGTTTGTTTGTGAGATTAACATAATTCAAAAACCATTTGGTGAAGTGACACCAAATTTGGACACAATATCACCTATCAGGCCAACGAGTGACCATCACTCATAAAAACACTGAAAAACACAGCAGAAGAGACTTAAAAAGCCCCCCAAAATACAAAATACATTACAACGCATGTGCATAACCACATAAATACACAAATATATTCACACACATACACACACACACAAAACACATATACACAGACTGGGCCACAGCAACGTGTGGCAGGGGATGGCTAGTAAATAAATAAATTCTTAAAAGGGCCAATTGTGCCTCCAATGAGGCGCACCTGCAAGGTAGAACATCAATTTAGAGACAAGAGAATGTTACTTTATTTATTTATCGTGTCATCAGCAACTATACCATTGTATTACAATTCTAACAGAGCAAAACAAACACACAGATTAAAAAGAAAAAGGAAAAAAAAACACACACAATCTGTAACTCTTCCACCTTCTTTGTTCTTTATAGCAGAATGGCTACTTCTACCCAGGAAAGTTCTGCAGAAGGTCCGAGCAGTAACTTTATTGAGCTGGACATGTCTTATCTAAAAGCTGCCTACCCTAATTCTAACTTTGATTTTGACATGCTGGCAAAAGAAATGGAAGAGGAATACCATCAAATTCGCAAGGAACTTCAAAGAGGGTTTAATTCTTCAATGAGAAGTGAAGTCCAAAGGTTGAAAACCTTCCTGTCGCAGCCACCTGGCAACGCTCTATCCACCTGGGCTCCCTTAGAGATGGCTGCTGCGGGCTTCTATCACACCGGCACTAAGACGGCAATACAGTGTTTTTGCTGTGGGCTGGTTTTGCTTGCAAGAAGCATCAGACAATCTCCTTATGTGGAACACAAGAAATTTTGGTCTAAGTGTGCATTCGTTTTAGGGGAAGAGGTTGGTAACATCTCCAAGTATGCGATTAGAGTTCAAAATCCAAGGAGGAGTTTTTCAGGAGTCACTTATAAAGATTTGGAGTCAAGACTTCAGTCCTTTGCTGACTGGCCATTTTATGCCAGAGACACTCAGCCTGATCTGCTAGCTAAAGCTGGATTTTTCTTCACAGGTAAATTCAAAGTGTTCTTATCCTGAAGAAATGTTTTATGTTCATAAATTAGTTGCTTTTAATAACTATCCATCCATGCACTTTGATGACCATAGTCCTTTGAAAGTTAATTTCCCTCAATTAAAAAAAAAAGGGTTGCTGTGAGTTTTCCGGACTGTATGGCCATATTCCAGAAGCAGTTTCTCCTGACATTTCACCCACATCTATGACAGGCATCCTTAGAGCTTGAGAGGTCTGTTGAAAACTAGGCAAGAGGGGTTTATATATCTGTGGAATGTCCAGGGAGGGAGAAAGAACTCTGATCTGTTTGAGGCAGGTGTGAATGTCGCAATTGGATACTTTGATTACCATTTAATGGCCTTGCAGCTTCAAAGCCTGGCTAATTGCTGCCTGGGGGAATCCTTTGTTGAGAGGTGTTAGTTGGCCCTACTTGATTCTTCTCTGGAATTCCTCTGCATTTTGAGTGTTCCTCTTTATTTACTGTCCTGATTTTAGAGGGTTTTTTTAATACCGGTAGTCAGATTTTGTTCATTTTCATGGTTTCTTCCTGTCTGTTGAAATTTCCACATGCTTGTGGATTTCAGTGTCTTTTCTGTGTAGTCTGACATGATGGTTGTTAGAGTAGTCCAGCATTTCTGTTTTCTCAAATACTATGTGGTGTCCAGGTTGGTTCATCAGGTGCTCTAAAAAACACCAGGTGCCCTGGACATTCCACCCTTGCCTCGCTTCAAGCAGACCCCTCAACTTCTGAAGATGCCTGCCATAGACATGGGTGAAACATTAGGAGAGAATGCTTCTGGGATATGGCCATACAGTCTGGAAAACTCACAGCAACCCAGTGATTATGGCCATGAAAGCCTTCAACAACACAATTTAAGAAATGTTTGGCATATAAAGAGAATGTTTGCTTGTTAAGTGAATTACTTTATTGTGGTTACCTTTTTACTGCAGTTTTCAGAAACTCCTTGAACACTGATCTCCAAATTCTGGTCCTCCAGAAATTCTGGTCCTCCAAAATTCAGCTCCCAGAATCTTAGACCTTAGACCAGTGGTTCTCAATCTGGGGTCCTACAACTCCCAGAAATCCCAGCCAGTTTACCAGCTCTTAGGACTTCTGGGAGTTGAAGGCCAAAAACATCTGGGGACCCCAGGTTGAGAACCACTGCCTTAGGCCAAAGTGGGCTTCTGAAAGTTGAAGTTCAAAACATCCGGAGGACTGAAGTTTGGAAATGACTGCTCTGGAGGATTCTGCCTGAATAATTTTGGAAATGTTGGAAAAGATTACGAAGTTCAAGTTTAGCCCAGTGAACGCGATTGGATATGGATATTGCATATATCTAGTAATTCGTCTGTATCTTCAGAGAAAGTCCAGACTGCCTATGGGTGGAAATCCAAAAGTTGCATCAGAAAGCACGATATTGTTATAACAATTTCCTGCCCAGGCCTGATTCATGACTATATTGGCATCTGCTTTAGATTTTGCTGCTGCTTGTGCCATTATGGGAATTTTTCTATATTTATATTGTTTTGCTCTTGTTTCCAATGTATACCCAAATATACATTTTTCTTCAAGGAATTATGGGAAGTCCCTCCTGCTTCTTTTTGAATATTCTTTTTACATATAGGTATTAAAGACACCGTTCAGTGCTTTGCCTGCAGTGGATGTTTGGGGAATTGGGAAGAAGGTGATGATCCTTGGAAAGAACATGCAAAATGGTTCCCAGAGTGAGTAATTTGCACAAATCCCTTTATGATAGTGACAACCTGTAAGTCAAGATGAGCATATATATGATCAAGGATTGCCAGATTTCATGCCAAGATTTGACGTCATGTTATTTGAAGTCCTGTATGGCAATATGGGGATAAGGTGAGGGCTCTGTCTTTGTAATAATTATTCATCCCCCCCCTCTACAAATCTACATTTTCAACTTGGAAACACTCCAACGGAAGCATTTCCAAGGTGCTGGAGGACACTTCTTATACTTCATCACACTAGAGAATGAATCCATTTAAAATCTGGTTTCTGCCTCCTGCAAAATTTTGGGGTTTGTAGTTTAGTGAGGCTGTTCAAGGTTCCTCCCTAAATTACAAACCCCAGAATTCTACAGGAGGCAGCAACCGGATTTAAAGTAGATGCATTCTCTAGTGTGATGAAGTAAATGTATCTTAGATCGCATTGAGAACAGAGAATTTGAAAAGCCCTTCAGCTTCCTGTTGCAAGTGTTTGTCACAATGTGCCCCTGACCACAAAAGCTCTGTAAAAATTATTTACAGTGTCTCACCTTGAAAAAACTTCATTTGGGCCATAAAATATAATTCACATTTTTAAAAACTAATTGCAACATAAAAATCCACAGAATCAATTAACTGTTATTTTTTAAAACCTTTTGAATTTTTTAAAAAGTTGTCAATCATTTTTGTTTGCTATTTTATAGATGTGTGTTTCTTCAAAAGGAGAAATCAAGAGATGAAATTAAGGAGTATATTCAAAATTACTCTGGATTTGTCGACATTACGGTATCCTTCTTTGCCTTCACAGTATTAAAATGTTCACAAGACGACTAGTGTTCTCGCATCAGAGGGCCTGAACCAGGCATGGGCAAACTTGGGCCCTCCAGGTGTTTTGGACTTAAAATGAAGCAGGCTTTTTCCTTCCCCTGAGCAATTGCTCAAAGGCTCAGCCAAAATGCTCCGTTTTAGTTC